TTTGGAACACAACCATGACCAAACAATTCTTGTCTCCTAGTGCAGTGTTTCTTTCAACAGTTTATACTGTACTTATAGGCATCAATTTTGTTCTTCAAACAAAAATATAAACCACCTTTATATGTTAACACACACATCACATAAAAAGAAATTCTGATGACTCAAGCATTCGACCATCTTATTTCTCAAATATATACTGAGGTACCTAGTCAAAGTTTACCAGTCTTAATATATCTCTCCCATAAAATAATTACTTCACTGAAAGTAATTACTGAAAAATATCTAGTGATATCTAATCAAAAATGTCTTAACTTCTATGTGCAGTTCACTATAGTTTCCAAAATGTGGTATAGCTGTACCTTGCAGGTTAAAAGTAATCATCACTTTATGACTGAATGTTTAAACAGATACTCGTGAGTTGCACATAAGAACAGACCTAAAACAGAAATGTTACTTTGTGCTTCAAATTATTTGTCAAAAGAAACAAAATACACTTACAAAACAGGGAGTGGGGTGGGTCACTATGGCCCTAGTCAGTTTCCTAATCTCGAAAGAGTTACAGAAGCACAGACTTTGGAAAAGGCCCAATGTGTAAAAAGAGAAAAACACTAAAGTGAAATTGTTCGAGTTAAAGAGCAGGTGGAGAGCAATCCGTGCTGAACTCCTGAGAGTTCTGGAACTCCTAAGGCTCAGAAGAGCACTGTTAAAAATCTCTGACTCTGTTCAGAGTTCTTTACGCCTAAAAAGTGGTTGTGTTTAAAACCCGAACGTGCAAGTTTGAAAAGGTTAAACCTTTTCCTCGGAACAACTTTTTTAAATTTCTAATTTCCTTTAGTAATGTCAAAATCATCTACTCCGGGAAAACGAAAACCACCTCCCATTGGTTCTTACATTTCCCATACTCTTTCAGTCACTTCTTAAGATGCATTCGGCTTATTACTGCAATAAGAAAATTTAGAGTTGGGAGTGGGGGCGGCGAATAGACTTCTTGGCTTGCACAACTGAAGTATGACCTTTGTGGATTTTTAAGCACCGCGGTACTTGAAAAAAGAAAAAAAAAAAAAAACCTCAGGTGATGAGATTTTCAAAACATATCTAAAACTGCGGTTGGCAGAGGCTCTCCACAGCCAGCTGTCCTTCAAGAAAATACTTAACATGTACAAGCAGAGCAGAACCACACCTCAACTAAACTCTAGCATCAAGAACTTTTATACGGTTAAAAAAGAAATCAGTTCGATTTACTTCAATGGATTTGTTCGATGCCTAAATAATGAATGAACTGGAGGCATCCCTGACTTGAGTTCTGAAGGAACCTCACTCTCAGCACGGTCTCCATAAAAACCTAAAGCAAATTCCCCCAAATTTAGTGTTTCGAGGCCAAGTCCGGTCCGAAGGAAGCCTTCCCCCGCTTCTAACTCTCGGCCTCGCTCCAAGGGTTGGAGCCCAGGGTGGCCAGGCGAGTGGGGGCGCCGGACGCCCCCTCCCCGCTCGGGAAAAGTTCCGCCGACTGCTCTCGGGGCAGGCCGGGCCACGGGCCTCGTCCGCGTCGCCTCCACTAACATCGAACCGGGCCTGGGCGGCCGGAGGGTCGCGACCCCTCCCCCGGCCGCCACCACAAACACCCCGCCCCCGCCTCCCCGCCGCCGCCCTCGCGGAGCGTTAACCCCTCGCCGCCTGCCGCCGGGCTCCGGGGAGGAGGCCGGGCCAGGGGGTGGAGTTGTCGCGTCTCCTCCCGGGAGCGCCCGGGCAGACGCCCGGCTTGTTTACAGGCCCCAGGCCCCAGGCCTGGCCGCCGCCGCGCAGGCCCACGCCGCCCNCCCGGCATCTTTCGCCGCAGTCGGCTTGCTACCCCGGCCCCGACCGAGGCTTAAGGGAGCATCGCGAATCCCGGATTGGAACCGGGACCGGGGCCTTCATCCTCCGGCGCCGGGTTGGACGGAGTGTGCGATTGTTAGGAGCCCCAGGAATCAAGATGCTCACCAAGGCTGGCAGTCTGCCGACGGGAACTCGGACGCTCCCCAGGGGCATCCGGGCCTCACGGCGAGGCGCTACCCTCTGCAAATACACAAACCGCTCCCTGCGAAGGCGCAGTCCACAGAGGCCGGAGGACAACCCCGTGCTTTCGACTTCTCGCGGGCACGGTCGCGGCCTGGTCCAGGCCTGGCTGCTGCGGCTCAAAAGTTAACTCGGTGTCAGGCCGCCGCCAGACCCCCTCCTCCAAGGCTCCACGCCTCCAGAGCCACCCTACCCCCAGGGACCCTGGGAGACCCACGCAGGTACCCCAGCCACACACCTCGCATCTCGAAGGGCAACTACCCGCACACCGTACTGCCACCCACCCACGTGCGAGTGCAGCTGCTGCACACACCAGGCACATGCTCCGAGTTTCTGGCCGGTTTCCAGTCTGTAGCTCGTGAGGTTCCAGGTTGTATTTATTTGCACTTGTTAAGACAGTCACATGATTCTGTCACTGAGGACTTCCAACGACCTCCAGTGAGGTTAAAGAAACGAAAGATTTTTCAAATTCCGGAAGACAATAAAAACGTAACAGCTGCTTATATTAAGAGTTGGAGATCTGCTAAACCTCGTTGAAACTGAATGTGCAGGTGACCAAAATCCAGCTTAGCTAGCTAGACCACGGAAAACCGGACCCACGCTGTTTGCAGACCTTGACAAACCCTGGGCGGCCAATGAATCAGAACTGAGGAGCAGTACATCACCAGCAGGGTCTCCTATTGGCTGGGGTGTCCTTCCTTTCTCTTGTCATAGACTTAACCTGTTCAGAGGTTTAACCTACACCAAATTTGAAGGAACAATTTAAAGATCTGAGATTTAAAAATTTTTAAAGATTTGAGATTTTAAAAAGATAGATTTTGAGATCTGATATTTAAAAAGATGCTCTGGTAAATACAAAGAAAAACCAAACACTTCATTATTAGAGGCAGGTACTTTAAAAAGAACAACTGAAAATATTATCCAAATCGTATTCTGGCAGATAAAAGGTAAATTTGTAATGGGGCCTCTCTATTTTATCCCAGAAGCTTGTACCCTACTTGTATCTCCTAAAATACAAATGCTTAGTTTGTATCTCCTAAAACCACTTTGTTGCTCCAACTCTTAGATCAAAAGCAACCCATTTATTCTGTCCCTGTCATTTAGCTTGGGCTTCCCTGGTGGCTCAGCTGGTAAAGAATCCTCCTGCAATGCCAGAGACCTGGGTTCGATCCCTGAGTTGGGAAAATCCCCTGGAGAAAGGAAGGGATACCCACTCCAGTATTCTGGCCTGAAGAATTCCATGGACTATATAGTTGCAAAGAGTCAGACACGACTGAGCAACTTTCACATAGCTGCTTTAAAGCTGTAAAAGTCCTCTGGAGTTTTTTTCAATATTTTTTTGGAAGATTCTGTTCCTTTCACTTTCAGGTCTGGGACCTAATAACAGTATCAAACAATATCACCCAATGATCACTGGCAGGCCACTTCTTCAAGGAACTTCAGTGTTACTCTACCCAGTATCTTTGGGGTTAGGATTTCTTAGAGTAAGATGAAGATGGATCATTTCCAGGTATACAAAGTAAAAATAAAGTTCACTTATATATTTGGTCCCAGTATTATCTGAAGACGTATTTCCTAATTAATTCTCCCCACATTTGCTAAAAGAAAAAAGAAGGAAATTAGATCAAATATCTTTGAAATTCTACCTAATTGGAATCCATAATACTTCAGACATGGATTGCTAATATCCATGCTAATATCTACATGCTAGCAGCATGATTAGCATGCTAGTGGACTCGTTACCATTCTAAAATGGAAAAGCCCATGTGACTACCCCTATTTGGAGCACCCTTAGAGAACAAATTTTCTTATTCGTAAGACAGGACCTGGGTCACCAGTGGCACTATTGGACTATAAAGAGCTCAAAGGTCTTGCCTGTCTTTTTGCTTCCTTCCTTTAGGCTTCCACATCTTCTCTCTGTTCTACACTTATAGAAGAATCTGAGTCAGCTATAATGGAAGAGGTAGAAAAATAGGAAATATGAGCATAGAGAAATTTTTAAGGAGTCTGTAGTGTACCATAGACTGCCAATTAAGCTGCACCTTTCCACTATTTCTTATTTCTGAATACAGCTTGCAGGAACATTCAGGTATTGCAGGTATTCATGAGGAAACTCATAGGTTGTAAGATTAACAGTTTAAAATTTGGAAGATATTTTAATATTATCTAAATAAATGTTTAGATGTGCTTGATGTTAAATGTGCTTGATATAATAGCCTCTTCCTTATTATTGTTATACTACATTTTATATTCCCTAAATATTGTACTAAATATTCCCTAAATATTATGCTAAGGGCAAAAAAATTAAACTATTAGAAGGGGGGAAAGTGACATTGAAAAAAGAAGGTTAAAATTTTCTTCTCTTTTCAACTACAAGGCTTTGCTTGGGTCTCCTACACACATTTGGGATGTTCATAGTCAGCTTTGGCAAAACATCAGTGAGAATGTGTTGCCATAATTGTACTTCAGTAATTTTTACAGGTATATTGTCTAACTGTTCTACTCTGCTTCAGAAATCTGTTTGTATTTCAGTTACCAAAGAGGAAGGTGGTTTTCTGAAAGGTTAGTTTTCAAGTCCTGGATTTAACTATGTGCCATTAGACTATAACTGAGAGGCTTGGGGCTGAGGACAGGCAGTGATGAATTGGAAGCTTACTCTGGTTAGCAGTACCCCTGGCTTTTCCTCCACAGCCAGGATGTTTTTCTTAAGGTCTCCATTTTTTGTAAAGCCCAATTACTATTGTGAATCCATCCAAGACAGTCACCGAAGACAGCCTGGCTTGGGCCTCTCAAAATGATCTCAGCGAAGTAAGTAGCCCCTCGGGTGAGGACCTGTGAACCCCCCAACTGAATCATCCATCCGTTCACACTGAGGCCAGTCACTACCCAAGAGCCGCAAAGCCAAGCAGAACACACACTCAACACCCTTCCTCCTCCTTCACTACCTGTTGCACGTATTTTTCTCACAGATATCCTCTTCTTATGTCTTCCTCTTCTTTCTTTCCTCCTTCTTCTTATTCTCTTTTCCTTCTGTCCTCTTTTTATCTCCTTTGCCCTTCTTTTTCTCATTTTTCTTTTCTCACTTTTCCTTAGCCTAGTCGAAATGACAGTTTCTGCTGCCCACTTTCTCCTGAAGAAATACATGTGAGCCGCTAGGCCCCCTACACTAATTTTGTTGGGAGGGGTGAACCCCCCCTCACCTGACCCTCCTTGCTCCATCCTCTCTGACCATAGCAGGTCATGAAAATCAGCTGTTTAAAGGACAGTCACAGAATGAAAAGGATTAGAGAATCTTGTCCTGTATGATATCACTGAGGTGGCCCCACTGGGGTGGGGCAGACAGGAGCCAGCAAGTTGGAGCTACCATTGTGGCTACTCTGGACCCCAGAGAAATGTGGCCACCGGGAGTATCACAGGTCAAGCCCTGGCTAATCTTTAGGGTAGGATCTTGCTTCAGGAGACTGTAGGTGGCCCCAGCCCCACACCATCGATGTGGACCTTATTAGACAAGTTCCTCTGTTCAACAGCTGCCTATTATGTGCCAGGCACTGTGCTGGAGACTGGGGGTAGTTTATGACATCAGTGAGCAAAAGTCTCAGCCCCAAGCAGCTGATGTTATAATGAGAGATATAGACAAAGAAGTAAACAAATGAACAAGGAAACTACTGACTGTGATCAGTGCTATGAAGGAAATAAGTAAGGAAATAGACTGGGGAGATAACTTGAAACAAGTGTACAGGGAAGACCTTTCTAGAAAGGCAGCATTCGAGCTGAAGGATGAGGCGTCAGCTTTGTAATCAACCAGGGAAGAGCTTTACAGGCAGAAGGATCACCAGAAACCAAGGGCCTGATGTGGAAAAGGGCTTGAGAGAATAGTTGTCTGCAGACCAAAGAGAAGTTCAGCATACTCAGGCAAATATTTTATAAAAGTTGCTCAAGTTTAGGATTATAACTTAAAATATTTGGGATACTTAATCCAGTTTACAGCTGGGAAACCACATTGAGTAGAGGGACACAAATCATACAAAATAACTTGCTGAATTGATCTAGCCCCAAAAGGCAAAGCAGCTTTGAGAAATCAAAATTAAAAATCAAAGGACTTTTATTCAGCTATTGAAATTAAAAAGCATTCTGCAATACCATAAAGAGGTCCCTTCAAACTGTCCAACAGGAGCTAGAAATGAGTAAACTAAAGTTTAGGAAAAAATGTTTTTCTCCCAGTTTAGATAGCTATTCTTAATAAGACTTAGCAAAAATTTGGACTTCTTGAGAACAGTTTTTCCAGGAGTTTACTGTCTGTTGTGGGCATTACAGAAGATCTCACACTAAAGCATACCTTTGAACACTGCAACATATTTTGGAGGAGAAGGGGATGACAGAGGATGAGATGGTTGGATGGCATCACCGACTCGATGGAAATGAGTTTGAGCAAGCTCCAGGAGTTGGTGATGGACAGGGAAGCCTGGCATGCTGCAGTCCATGGGGTCGCAAAGAGTTGGACATGACTGAGCAACTGAACTGAACTGAACAATGGATGCCTGGTTGAAAACTAGTGATGAAATGACCGTCATAATAAAATTTTTTTTTTTCTGTATCTGACTCTACAATTTACAAAGCCCTGTCACCTAGATCAGCCAATCTTATCATCAAAATAACCCTTGGGCAAGGCAAGAACTGCTCTCATCCTTTACAGAAGAGGAAACAGGGTCAGAGAGCTAGCCAGCAATTGCCCAAGGTCATCAAAAGTAATGACTGGTACCCAGGTTTTCCCTTGTATCCTATAGACCAACCCTAGCTTTTACATGTAGTAATAAAAGTAGTCAAGAGAGTCAGGGGTAGAAAGAGCATGGACTTAGAGTCAGTGGTGTTCAAAACTGGTTTATGCTATCTCCTGAGAGCAGACTGTTAAATTTCTAGGGATTTTGCCAGTTTGTTAAACACAGCCACTGTTAAAAATTAAATTATTTAAACCTCCAATTATATTTTAAACAAAGATGATATGTAGTATTGAAACAAGCTTATAGATATAGAAAACAAACTTACGGTTACCAAGGAGGGAAGGGGATAGAGGGATAAATTAGGAGTTTGGGATAAACATACACACACTACTATATATAAAAATAGATAACCAACAAGGACCTATTGTAGAGAACAGGGAACTAGATTCAGTATCTTATAATCTATAAGGGAAAAAATCTGAAAAAATATATATGCATATGTATGTGTTTATACGTATGTATAACTGAATTACTTTGTTGTACACATGAAATGAACACATTGTAAATCAACTATACTTCATATCTAAAATAAGAAAAAAGATGATACATATTAGAAACATATATTTTAAAATATCTTAATGCATCCTACTATTATCTCTGCTCTTGAAGTCCTTACGTGTATTGTGCCTTAATGGTATAAATACTCTATGATGTGTTAACTGCACACCTCTTCCCAATGCCACATTCACTGACTTCACTTTGGGAGCTTGAAACTGGCTGTGGAGGGAGCATTTACATGATGGCAATCAGCAAATGTCACAAATCAAGAACTGACATTGCTTTGTTGATGGTCTAGATAGAAGAAAGTGACAGAGGAACTGTTAATAATGCAAATTAATTGTAAAAAGCATGTTGTCTCTAGAGCTGTTAGGTTGTGAAAGGCACAAGAACATTCAACTCAGCAAAGAAGTCATATTGTTGGTGAACAAGTTCCCATATACGTCTTTATTGTGTCACTTTTATCTTAGATGAAAATATTAAGGGGATGACAGAGGATGAGATGGTTGATGGCATCACCTACTCGATGGACTTGTGTTTGAGCAGGCTCCAGGAGTTGGTAATGGACAGGGAAGCCTGGCGTGCTGCAGCCCATGGAGTTGCAAAGAGTCAGACACAACTGGGCAACTGAACTGAACTGTCTGATGTCAGAACTACATTTGGGTGCTCTATAGGATACAAGGGAGAGCTGGTTGTTAAACATTTACCAGCATACCACTGGGTCTGCTGCACTATGCCAGCTGGGCCACTTATAGATTTGGTGACCTTAAGCTTGTCACTTACACTATTAGCCTTGGTTTCATTCTTCACAAAATACTTCCTCTCAGGATGTATTGTGATATTTAAAACAGATGAGGTGTTCTTCACCACCACACTCTTCTTCCTCCTCCTTGGCAGACCCTTCTCTCACTAGAGTTTGTATATAGATACATTCGTTCGCAGTCTCCCATGCAGCCTAGGGCAGCACCCTAGCCTGTGTGTCAGCGCACACTGCTAAATTTCAAATAGGTTACAGATGTGACAAGATATTGATCCCTTAAGCCTTCAGAACATTTGAGTGAGGCTCAGCTGCTGAAACCTGAGATGGTCCCATCTAGCTAAAAGCAGTTCCACTCAAACTCTCTCTGTCGTAAAAACATTGCTTTATTTATTTCTGTCACTGTAAAAGAGCTGGGTAGTGCTGGCTTAAGGCAGGGATATGTGATGCAATTCTGACCAATGGAACCTGAGGAAAAGTCTTGGAGGGATGGATCTCAGCCTGATTTTCCTCCCTAATAAAAAGAGTCAAACAAGAGAAAGTACCCTTAGGTGTGTTGTTACCTCTATAGGTGAGCCTGGAGCCTCTGGGCCGTCTTGCAAAGGACCAACTGATGAGGAGAAGGGGAATGATGGCAGAAGTCTGCATGCTGCGCCTTGTTGAGCCATTGAGGCATCACAGCAATTGCATACTATACATTTTTACTTAAGAGGGATATTAATTTTCCTCCTTGTTTAAGCCACTTTTCTTTTTGTATTTGGGGTTTCCTCAGAAGCTTGTAGCTAAAGAGCTTCCCACGCGGTGCTAGTGGTAAAGAACCTGCCTGTCAATGCAGCAGATGGAAGAAACACGGGCTCCATCTCTGGGTTGGGAAGATCCCTTGGAGAAGGGCATGGTAACCCACTCCAGTATTCTTGCCTGGAGAATCCCATAGACAGAGGAACCTGGCAGGCTACAGTCCATGGGGTTGCAAAGACTCAGACATGACTGAGGCAACTTATCACGCATGCATTGTAGCTAAAAGCACAAGCACCCAAATATTCTAGAAGAGGTGGCATGTACCCAACACCCAGTGAGTGTTCAGTAAGGTTGTCTAATAACCAGACTGAATCCTGAGCCTGTAGAAAAACTGCATGGTCTGCTGTAAACGTATTCTCTAAACATTTGAGGGATTTGTTCACTACTTATGGTTCACCTTTAAGTGTATTCTGATTCTTGCTTAAACGTGTTAAATTGGATACTAAAAGCAGTAATTGAGAAATGAAGTCATTTAAAGATTGAGAGCAACTAGACACAGAGATGTTGTTATGAATTTTGTTTTCTTGAAGGATCTTGGAAACTAGAGCTCAGTTGCCTGAAAGATGACATAATCCTCTCATGTTCTGCAGAGCAGTCCTAGAACCAGTGCTTGGGAATTACAGAGAAGACAATTTTAGCTCGGTATCAGGGGAATAAACTTGGCTTTGTTGTTGTTGTTCAGTCACTCAGCCGTGTCTGACTCTTTGGGAACCCATGGACTGCAGCACGCAGGCTCCTCAGTCCTCCATTATCTCTCAGAATTTGCTCAAATTCATGTACATTGAGTCAGTGATGCCATCCAACTGTCTTCCTCTGTCTTCCCCTTCTCCTTCTGCCTTCAATCTTTCCCAGCATCAGGGTCTTTTCCAGTGAGTCAGCTCTTCACATCAGGTAGCCAAAGTAGTGGAGCTTCGGCTTCAGCATCAGTCCTTTCAATGCACATTCAGGATTGATTTCCTTTAGGATTGACCTATTTGATCTCCTTGCAGTCCATGGGACTCTCAGGAAGAGTGTTCTGCAACACCACAGTTCAAAAGCATGAATTCCTCGGTGCTCAACCTTCATTATGCTGCAGCTCTCACATATGTACATGACTACTGGAAAAACCATAGCTTTGCCAACCTTTGTTGGCAAAGTGATGTCTCTTATTTTTAATACACTTTCTAGGTTTGTCATAGCTTTCCTTCCAAGGAGCAAGTGTCTTTTAATTTCATGGCTGCAGTCACCTTCATCAGTGATTTTGGAACCCAAGAAAATAAAGTCTGCACTGCTTCCACTTTTTCCCCATCTATTTGCCATGGAGGGACTGGACGCCATGATCTTAGTTTTTTGAATGTTGAGTTTCAAGCCAGCTTTTCCACTCTCTTTTACCCTCATCAAGAGGATCTTTAATTCCTCTTCACTTTCTTCTATTAGAGTGGTATCATCTGCATATATAAGGTTGTTGATATTTCTCCTGGCAATATTGATTCCAGCTTGTGATTCATCCAGCCTGGCATTTCACATGATGTATTCTGCATATAAGTTAAATAAGCAGAGTGACAATATATAGCCTTGATGTACTCCTTTCCCAAATGTAAACCAGTCAATCGTCCAGTTCTAACTGTTGCCTCTTGACTTGCATACAGATCTTGGCCTAGAATGTGCCAAACTCCATACAAGGCCCCTTGTGAGTGTCATTTAATTCTCACAATAACTTTGCAAAG